ACTCGTACAGACACACCTTATTCATGACCTACACAACTGCTGGCGAACAGGTAAGTCTTTTGACAATGCCCTTTGCTTCAGGATGTGCCCGTTGGTAAAGAACTTGGACTCTTGACCTGCTTTTCACGTTTCTGAGCCCTGGCGAGATACCTTTTCAGGCTGCTTTACTTTTACATGGCCCACGTTGCTTAGTTACAAGGCCTGARGCCTACATTGGGTGAAAAAGGCCCTTTCAGTATAGTCGGAGATTGCCATATTCTCAGAAACTGGATTTTGTTCTTTTCTGAAAATCGCATCTTTACTCCATTTCGCAATTTTTTTTTTTCAAGATCGCATTTTGTAAAAGCCGAAACTTTGCGGAACCTAGCCTAGATCTCGTTCATCATACGCTTCTGACATGTCTCACTCATAATAGATCGGCAGATATACACAAAAAAAAAAGAAAAAAAAAAGGAAGTAGTCCTCTTTATTTTATTTATTTATTTGTTTTACCTGTTGATTAGGGCCGGAGGAAAGTATTGTTGGGTTGGTTTCCTACCTGCGTTTTCCCTCCCACCCGCCCTCTGCTTGCATTCCCGGTTTGGTACAGTGCCACGTCCGCAGTGCCACGTCAGCAGTGCCATGTCAGCCACAGTGCCACGTCGACAGTGCCACATCAGCAGTGCCACGTAAGCAGTGCGACGTCAGCCACAGTGCCACATCAGCAGTGCCACGTCAGCCACAGTGCCACGTCAGCAGTGCCACGTCAGCCACAGTGCCATGTCAGCAGTGCCACGTCAACCCAGTGCCACGTCAGCACGGGTTCAGCAATGGGCCTTCCAGGCCAACTGGCCAACGAGTCCATTGCTGACTGCAAACAGCGTTTCCAGGCTCAGCTCGCTTTCATCGAGGCTGAGGAACAACGCCAGCTGGCAGCCGAGGCTGCCCGCCTACAGGCTGAAGCAGCGGAAACAGCAGAGAAGCTGCGGCTACAGGTCGAAGCAGACGCAGATGCCCAGGCTCGCCGCAAGGAAGCCCAGGATCTGTTGCAGCGACATGAAGCCAACAGCATCAACAGACTCAAGTTCTGGCATTTTGAACCGAACGGCGACGACGCAACACCGGAAGAGCAGCATAAGGAGTTCCTCTCCAAACTCGTGACACGGTTGTTGTATGCTTGCAACTACCAACGGTCCGAGTTAGAGAGACAGACCCAGGAACTGCAGCAACAGTACCAGGATCTGAAGACACAGCACCAGGAGTTGGCGAACCTCCGCCGGATAGTGCAAAGCCACGAGGATGCAACACGGGCACTCAATTCCCGTGTACTGGACCTGGAACAGGCTGTACCAGGACCAGATGCTGGGGCTTCCAGCAGTGCACCCTCTAGCCGCCAACTGGAGGAACGCGTTGACCACGTAGTGGCAATGCTCGGCGACATCAGCACCTTCGCGGCGCCAACCACCATCAGCAGCCAGCTGGACACGTTGAAGACCGAGATCCAGCAACTGCAGTCGACGAACTCGAATGGCAATCCAAAGCTGTACAAGATGCCAACTTTCCAACTGGAGAAGTTCGACGACTACACACATCAGGATCCGGTCCTCTGGTGGGAAGCGTTCACAACGCAACTTCGGATTCTGCCTGTCGCCAAGCATGCGTACATCAGTGCCTTGTTTCTTAACTCAAAGGGAGCATGCCAGACCTGGTTGATCCGCCTGGCAGCCACCCAAGGCGTCGACATCGCAGATCTCAAAGACAAGATCACATGGGAAGAGTTGACACGGCTGTGGAAGAAGCGGTTCATCGTTGACGACGCACCAGCACTCGCCATCAACCGTCTCATCACCATGTCTCAAGGCAACACCGCAACACGTGACTGGCTCACGGAATGGCAGAAGATCGCGGCAGTGCCCGATCTGGACTTACCATTCACGCATCTACACCGTGAGTTCTACAACAGGTCATGCGCTGCGCTGATCCAGGCACTTGGTGATCGCGAGCAATATGCAACTTCCGCCGAGATCATTGACAAGGCGAGAGAGATCATCAAGACCAACAGGGCAGCTGCACACGAGAAGTCAACGTGGCAGCCGACCTATGTGGAGAAGGTAAAGACTAGTCCGTGACCGCAGCGCTTCGCTGCAGTCCAATCGGACAGTGGAGAAGACCCAACAACCACTCCAGCATCACGTGACGGAGATCAGGTGGCTATTGTCCAGAGCAACAACAAGTCCCGGAACAATGGGAAGGCGAAACCAGCATCGCAGGCCGGAAATGGACAGCCAGCACCATGGGTCAAGTTTAGCTTGACCGAGGCGGAGTACAAGTACCGCGACTGCTACGGCTGCTGCTACTGGTGCAACAGCACCAAGCACAAGACCTCCCTTTGCCAGGATCAGGCCAAGGAGGAAGAGCGACCCCGTCTCAACTCGGGAAATTGAGTTTCGCGGGAGGTGAGGCGACTCCACCTTCCACTTCGCCAGATTCGTCCGCCTTGCTAGCGGCCTCCTGCACATCTGGGGAGGATGCAAATGTCGTAAGTTCTCGGTACACTTACGAGGACTATGCTGTCCACTTGGTTCCACCGCTGGACCAACTGCTCCACGTGCAACAATCAACCGCATGCACGGTTTCATCACCATCGACAAACGATTCGGCAGCTTCGCCGCCATCTATCGTCGGGGATTCGACGTCATGGTCAAGACTTGAAGAGCTCGACCCGTTGACGTTCGCGGACTTCCAATGGATGCCCGTTCCCCCGTCCGGTCGATTGCCGAAACCGCATTGCAACGTGCTCATGGCACAATTGCGGGATTACTTGCACACTGCAGTACCGACTCCGTTGATGGACGCCAGAGTAGAGGTTGTCGACCTTCACGCCTACATTGCGAAGATCGACCGCGAGTTCAAGACGCAACGGTACGACGACATCGACGCACCGTTGCTATATGTACGCATTCAGATCGGAGAAGCGACCTGCAGCGCTTTGATCGATTGCGGAGCATCTCGCAACTACATCAGCCAGGACTTCATGGTACGCGCCGGCCTTGGCCCACGCGTCCGAAGGAAGCCCCAGCCTACGCAAGTCACGTTGGCAGACGGTCACACGCACAAGTCAATCGACCGGTGCATTGATGACGTCCCAGTGTACTTTGCCCCTCACGCAAGTGAGGCGGTGTCCTTTGACATTCTGGACACCAAATTTGACATGATCTTGGGCATGTCATGGCTGCGAAGCGAGGATCACCCGGTGAACATCTATAACCGCACCGTTCACAATCGTGATCGGAACGGAATACTAGTCCCATGTACGGTGCCTCTTCCTCATCCTTCGATCAGCTGCCACGTGGTCTCTGCCGCAAGCATGCGAGCATCCATCATCAGAGACGACATCGAGGAGATGGGGGTGTGTTTTCTCCACGCCCTCCCGCCCCATGACGCTTCATCGACGGACTCTTCTTCGGATCCACGCATCACCGAACTTCTCGACGCCTACAGCGACGTGTTCGAAGGCCCGCACGGAGTAGTACCGGATCAGCCCATCCGCCACGAGATCATCCTCAAGGACGGGGCCGTACATCCGTGCGGTTGCATCTACCGAATGAGCGAAGAAGAGTTAAATGTGCTTCGGGCACAACTCGACGACCTTATGGAGAAAGGCTGGATTCGGCCTAGCTCATCGCCATACGGTGCTCCTGTTCTCTTCGTCCGGAAGAAGAACAAGGATTTGCGGTTCTGCATTGATTATCGCAAGCTCAATGCGCAGACGATCAGAAACGCCCGCCCTCTCCCACGCATCAACGACCTTCTCGAACGACTGGGCGGCGCCAAGTTCTTCTCCAAGTTGGACCTCAAGTCGGGATATCACCAACTCGAGATTCGAAAGGAGGACCGCTACAAGACCGCGTTTAAGACGCGATATGGGCATTTCGAATGGCTGGTTATGCCATTTGGCCTTACGAATGCCCCGACCACTTTCCAAGCGGCTATGACAACGGAGTTCCGACACATGCTGGATCGATTCGTACTTATCTACCTCGACGACATCCTGGTGTACAACCGGAGTTTGGACGAGCATGTGGAACACCTGCGCACCGTTTTGGAGCGGCTACGACAAGCCAAGTACAAAGCCAACCGCGACAAATGCGAATTCGNNCGGCAGGAGCTGGAGTACTTGGGACATTATGTGATGCTGCAAGGCATCCGTCCGCTTGCAGACAAGATCGAGGCCCTCCGCGTATGGCCCGAGCCCACCAACACCCGGGCGTTCATTCATTCATGGGGTTGGCGGGCTACTATCAGCGATTCATCACCGGATACTCAAGGATTGCTGCACCTATGACGAGATTACAATTGCCAAAGGTGCCATTCTTATTCGATGACGACGCAGGCCGATCATTCCAAGCACTTAAGACGGCCATGCTCATGGCACCCGTCCTTAGCATCTATGACCCCACCCTGCCTACGAGAGTGACAACTGACGCTTCCGGCTATGGCATTGGGGCAGTCTTGGAACAACACGACGGCGACGACTAACACCCTGTGGAGTACTTCAGCCACAAAGTGCCTCCCATCAACTCGCTTGATGATGCAAGGAAGAAGGAGCTGCTCGCGTTCGTGATGCCTCTCAAGTGATGGTGGCACTTCCTCCTTGGGCGTCGTAGGTTCACATGGGTTACGGACAACAATCCACCGACTTACTACAAGATGCAGGATACGGTGAGCAGCACGATCGGACGATGGATGTACTTCATCGACCAATTTGACTTCACACCGAAACATCTTCCAGGCCTCTCCAATCGCGCAACAGATGCACTCTCGCGAAGACCTGATCTTTGCGCTATGACACATCATGCCTTCGCATTCGACGAGGAACTTCAGCGACACTTCATCCAGGGATATGAGTCGGATCCGGACTTCGCCACGTTGTATGCGCAGCTATCTTCGAATCACCCTCCGGCCAGCCACTATCGCATTGTCGACGGGTACTTGTTCCTCCACTCGAGAGGCAAGGACTTATTGTGTGTCCCACGAGACCGTCGTCTTCGGACTCGCCTTCTAGCTGAGTATCATGACTCGCGACTCGCCGGCCATTTCGGAGTCAACCGCACCATTGCACGGCTTCGACAACGATTCCGATGGCCCGACCTCATTACCAATGTCACTCGGTATTGCGACTCTTTTCGAAGTTTGCCGACGAAGCAAGCCCCAGAATCCCAACCCCGGCGAGTTGCGCCCGATGCCTATCCCACGGGAACCCGGCCTCTCCATTGCCATGGATGTCACCGGACCATTTCCTCGCGATCGCCTCGGGCACGGCGGCATCCTCACGGTTGTGGACCGTTTGAGTAAGTATGCGCGTTTTCTCCCTTGCAAGTACTACTCCACGGCTCCCGAGCTGGCACGCCTCTTGCACAACGGTTGGATTTGTGGCCACGGTGTACCGGAAGACATAGTGTTACATGCACAGATATGCCATGTACGTAATAACCGAGGATCTGCAATGTGATGAAAAGGACAGAATGGACAATGCAGTGCGAGTAGAATTTCGACAGACAATGTGCATTCTCATACATACAAAAGGTGTTGAATAGTGCAGGGAAGACTTTGATACAAGGACTGACCTGACAGGGATTGACCTCACTCGTGTAGTAACAAGTAGCAAAGCAGAATGCTAGAATAATGATAACGAGCCCAATCAATGTTTGAACCTAGACCAAACATGCATCATACCCATCACCGAGTGTGAGCGAGCCTAGCGCTGTACAAAGGAAGAAGCGCCAGGTTCAGACATACACAGACGAAGAGGTAGGGAACAAACGAAAGGAGGGAGAGTGATGGGAATGTCGTTAACACCAAGTCTTGGTCACCAATCCCAAATAATCCCTCGTTGCCTTGTCTAAAGTCCCCAAAAGTCGAGTCTGGATCCAATGTCACCAAACTCTCTCTCTTCTCTCGCAGTCTGCAGATGCAGTGAAGTCAGATGTTGACAGGGAGAGAAGAAGATGGTGGACTGAGAAGAGGAAGAAGAAGACTCTCTCTCTCACTGTTACGAACCAGATACTAACCTGTGATGTGGGCGCTGTGCTGCAGGTACCTCGAAGACGAAGCTGGAGCAACGGCGCTGCAGGTAAGTACTCCTGGCCTCCGCCCAAACTCTCTCTCTCTTTCTCTAACACTATCCTAGCTATGGCACCCAGCGCTGGAGACTATAACTACCTACTGCGCCCAGCGCTGAAGACTACAAGCTAACGCTACCACTACTACAACGCAGCGCTCCCTCCAGAGTGCTGCTCCCAAATCTTGAAGACTACTGCCTCCTGAATGAATCGTGAAGTGCCTGGGGGGGTACCTATATACTTCCACGGCCTGCCTCCTACGGGCCAGCCAGGCCGAGGAGGCTGCTCTTGCCAATCCACGGCCTGCCTCCTGACTGCCTGAAGGGCCAGCCAGGCCGAGGAGGCTGCTCTTGC